GTCTGGAAAGGTCCCTCCCAGCTTAGAGACGGTCTCTGCGGAAATCCTGTGGAGGGAACCACGTCGAGGTGCGTGAGCCACTGAACACGGGGCCCTCGGGACGCTAGTAGGCGCCCAGCCCGTTGTGTGGCCTCGTTCACAAGCCACTGTGATTACAGACTAACCGGAGCCTTCCCACCAGGCAGCTGGGTCAAGAGCCACCCCCCAGGCACCCACGGTTGGCAAACATCGCCCAGCCCCACGTGCCTGCAGGTCCCGGCCCAGCCCTATCCCGTCCCGTTCACCTCCGCTCGAAAGGCTGCCCAGGGACGTGAGGAGGCCCCACCAAGGACGTTGCACGTGGCACCCGAGCCTCCCCGTGCACCGGGCTGGGATCAGAACGACAGACATCTCAGCCTTTCCACATCTGAGCCTTTCTGATGAAAATGTCATCGACTGGAATTTGCTGGACAAGAGCCAGACCATGTGCAAATTGATTTTACTGCCTAAGCCTGTTGCCGGTCTTTAAAAACTTTTTAAGAAAAACAAAGAAGGAACGCGTGCTAGAGGTTCCTTAGCACGCGGTGCCCCGGCATCTCCCATCACCCACAGGCACCTGCCCACGTTTTCACACGAGAAAGAGACTGCGGAGCCCAGAGGGGTCGTTCACGTCCCCCAGTGTCACCACCCAGGTGGGCTGAGCAAAGAACCCAGAGGGTGAGACTCCTACATTTTGGGGGCAGCAAGTTGCAAAGCTGGGAGCCCTTCAAACATCCCCAGGAGCCCTCACACTTTGGCTAACACAGCGTCCCAGGGACGAGCCACGGTGAGCCTGCGGGGCCGGCCTGGCAGCCAGCTGGACGTCACAGGGGCCTGCTGAGGGCTGCGGGGGTGGGGCGCTGGCCGGCCCCAGCCATGGGAGACGGACAGAGGTAAGTCCCCACACCCTCCTCCTCCCATGAGACTTCACAGCGTGAGGGGAGCCGTCCCCTGGGCTGGACACCGCCGACCGAGCCCATGAACTAACCCTCTTTGTACCTGTCAGCCGCTGGGGTGGTTCACTCCTTCCCACAGGGGAGTGGATTCGAAGCCCCCCTTCACCCTCGGGCTCTGTTTTCCACGTCTGCGCCCTGTGTTTGTGTGTTCGAAGGTAAATATTTACGGCGGACCTAAATATTTACGCTCAGAAACAAAGGGACTATAAAACCCGAAATGTCATAAGCCAGGTCGGCTGAATTTCAAACCACGGCGTCCTTCTGAAACATGCTTGTTTCTAATAAATCTCTCCACAAGCAAACATTGTGCCTGTAATACCAAGTCACGGTGCCCAGGAACAATGGGCGCTTTCATGCGGCCCGGCCGCTCCGGCCGCGCCAGCCTCCGGCGGGGAGTGGAGCCGCCGGGCAGCCTGGCAGGGCCCGCGACGGAGCCTTGACTGGTGGTCACCATGCTGAGCTCCAGCTACGGAGTGACTGCCACCCGGGCTGCTTTAATGTTATTGCATCGGCACAGTACGCGGCACAGCAAATGCTGCCCACTCGCCGTCCCAAATTCATCCTTTCAACTTTTCTCACCTCCTACGAAACCACCTCTGAACCCCCCCGCCCCCCAGCCCTTTCTCACTCTGGGTACAGAACCCGTAAGCGGGATCCCTCTGTAATCGAAACCTTACACCGCCTCCCAAAACTTATTACAGCTGCCTTCGGTACAAAATGAAACCTCACAGAACGTTATTTAAAATGTTTTTAGAAAGTCAGGAGGCCTCATGTTTCGTTTCTCCACAGCAGGGTTCGATTTCCGCCGCAGCGTCATTCTCTGCCCCAGCGTCTTGGAAAGGGTCCCGGGTGCCAGCATCTGCCGAGCGCGGTGCCCCTCCTCTCCCGTCCTTCAGCGATCGCTCCTCCGCGGTGCCCATCAGACCCTTCAGCAGGGATCAGGAGCCGGGGATGACAGCCCTGGACTCCTGTTCTAACTTCCGAAAGACGGGGGTGAACGCAGGGTGCGGCCGGGGGAGCTGGCTGGGGCGGGTCCTGCGGAGACGGGCAGAGCAGGCGGTCCCCACGGCCGGGCCCACTGGGCACGAAGGTCCTCCAGCAGCTAATGTGCTCCCCCGAACCGCACAAGGCCCTGGGCAGACGAAGCCCGCAGCTCGCGATGCTGCCGAGGGAGGCTGGTCCTGAATTCTCTCTGGGTCCGAAGAGAAAGCCCAGAGCTCGCGCCTCTCTCGTTCTACGTGATAACAAAAGTCCCATCTTCACCAGGATTTACAGACCTAGGCAAGGCTCTCTTACGGCATGTTCGACTCCCAGATATTATATAAAACAGATTTTTCTTTTTACAGGGGAGTGAAATAGATATATGGCAAACAGATAAGCTGACAAGCACCTCACCTGTGTCTCTACTGCAATTTTTAAAAACAGATATTCTGAGTTCTGCAGGTTGCAGATGCACGGTCCATGGACCGAGGCGCACGGGAACCTTTGCAACAGCCACTCTGAAGTCCCTGTGTGAATTCCAAATTAAGACAGAATGGAAAGCAGCCCAGAGGGTGTGGCTGCTGCCGATGGGACAGTTGGCTGCACAGCTGGAATGAGGTTCCACCAAATAAATGCACAGTAAACAGACTCAGAGCTGGAAAAACTATTCTCTCCCCCCTCACGCTCTCTCACTCCCTTTTGTCAAGTGCTGCAAATGAATCCACTTTTCTAAAGCTCAAGACCCAGCTGCTGAGAGTTTAAATATCGAGACTGACTCACTCTCAAATCCTGCTGAGAGAGACAGAGACACAGAGAGACAGGAACAGAGACAGAGAGAGAGACACACAGAGAAGAGATACAGAGACAGACAGAGAGACAAAGACAGACTGAGAGTGACAGAGAGGGAGAGACAGAGACAGAAATAGAGAGACAGAGAGGGAGAGACAGAAACAGAGAGGCAGAGAGACAGACAGAGAAGAGAGACAGAGACAGACAGACTGAGAGTGACAGAGAGAAGAGAGACAGAGATAAAGAGACAGAAATAGAGAGACAGAGAGGGAGAGACAGACACAGGGAGACAGAGACCGGGCGGGACAGAGAAAATGCCTGAGTGACAGAGTTAAACCTCTGTTAACTGACCACTGAAACTCTGCAGCCCCTCCTCCTCTGGACATTGAACATGTTTGCTCATCAGAGATCCACAGCTTTTCCTCTGACACAGCAAAGGCCACAAAAACGTCCCCTGAGTGGAGAGGCCTCATGGACACAGGCTGGGTAACCTCACATCCCAGGATCAGGAGGAGAACCAGGTTCTTAAATTACGCCCGTAAATTAATCAGGCCCAGAGCTGCTGGTTCCCAACAGGCACTGGTCTTCTAGCTACTTCTCCCCAAAACCCTACTCAGCACTTGCCACAAAGAACCATTTCAAAGCCGCTCCGTCGTAGGAAAACACGGAGGGGCCCAAATCACCAGAGTGCCCGGGATGGATCGGGTAACACAGTCTCCCGCTCTCGGGCACCGTTCATTTAAGCAGCGTGGAGAACCCCGCCGGCCCCTTCTTTAAATTAAAATCTAAATTTAATTACCCGTCCTCTAAGCTGGCAGCTCCTTAGCTACATAGAGAAAGAAAACACTGCGATTTGAGGACAAGTGCGAACAACCACGAATTCTTTCTCTAAAGCCCAGCCCAGCATTTTTCCTCAAGAGTGGGCGGTGGTTGCTTTTGTTGCATAAAAACGCACTAAACCAGTTAGCATGAGGCAGGGTTATTAGGGGGAGGGGAGCAAGGCCTCTGAAGCTGGAGGAGCTCAATAAC